AATCAATAATTCTTACATTTTCGAGATAAAAGGTGTAACAGACAGACAGGCGGACAGGCAAAGACCGGGAAAAGTAATCCCTAAGTGTTGCTCACAGGCGCCTGTCGTTACTTATTTTTCTTCTAATGAAAATAAAAAAATATATACCGTAGTCATAAGAAGCTGATAATTTGGAGTCCAGTAAGCTGACAGATGATTAGCGCCTGTATAACACACGTGCCTTATTCTACTATATTTATCGCAAAGATCAAAGAGATGCCGCGGAGGTAGGGGTATATTTTTGTTATAAAGAAAAATAAGTAACGTCAGGCGCCTGTGGTGTGGTTCTGATCTGCAGGCGACACAATAGAGAAGTTTATCAAGTTTATTTTAACACATTATAAGGAACATGCTATGTAAATATGATTTGGTGATTTCAAATGTTCTAAAAGCTCCTTTGAGATTTTAATTATCAACATCTGAATTACACCACTTCTTAAATATATGCGCGTGGCGCAGTGGTTAGAGCGTCTGCTCTCGAGTCGCGGAGTAAGGAGTTGATCCTTACGTCGCGGGTTCGAATTCACTGCGGGACGTGGAGACCGGTCATTCGGATGAACCGTATAAACCGAGGTCCCGTGTCGCACTAGGTGCTGGCGCGTAAAAGATCCCTTATTGCTCAAAGTCCCTAAGTGCAGAGTATAGCTCTCAATCCACCGGCAAGTGGTGTCGTCTCCTTATGAGTGAAAAATTCTCGAGAGGGATGTTTAAACAACAAATAAACGAACAAAAAAAATATATTGTTGCACAGTACATGAGAACTTTCTCCTTTTATCAATATATTGTACTGGCTTATGTAATGACGGATGTTACAACCCCTCTCCCCCTCCAAATTGTTGAACCAAGTTTTACGATAAACGTGATGACTTTAACTTTTCAATCGTCAACTTCCCTTACTTATGCAGCAATATACCTTCATCACCTGCATATGGGGTTTATATCTCTCAGTTGATTCGATACGCAAGAGCATGCTCTACGTATGAACAATTTCTAAAACGAGGTAAATTATTGATCAACAAGTTGATGAAACAAGAATATCAGTAGTCTCGTTTAAAGTCATCATTTCTTAAGTTCTACGGTCGATAGTATGACCTTGTCAGCAAATACAATTTATCATTGATTCAAACGCTGACTGACGTTTTTCATACTAACTGTTAGACCATTATTTACACAATGAATTGTCGACGGATTTTTCCGTTTTTACCCGATCATGACAAGGAGCACACGTGTGACCGGTGTGACCGGTCGGCAGGGGATGCTCACTCCTCCATGGCACCTGATCCCACCTCTGATGTTTTGGAGGTCCGTGTTTGCTCTGCTCCAAAATTTGTATTGTTTAATGGACTATTAAGCTTGAATACTGTTCGGTATCTCCATACATTCATTTTATTGGTAAAGTTAGGTCTAGCAGTTATTTTTCTGGTTCAAAATTTCTTTGACCATACAGGAAAGTCTAAACACTTTCAACAATGCTTTCTTACATAATACTATAAGCATATAACTAATAATCTATAGGTACAAGTACGCCGTACACAGAATCAGAGTAAGATTCATGCTTCCTCAGTCCTTATTCTTGTAGTACTACAACTTCCAGTCTTTATGAAATAAATTTCAAACAGATTGACACGTATGTTTTAAATCATTTCCAGATTTCATGTGGTGATGTCCGTCATCAAATTTTGCATCCGTCATCACATATTTTGTATGTATACTTACATGTATAACTTTTAACACATATAGAGTTACCTCATCAATGATTTGGCCACCAGTTATCTATCAATTTGAATAATTTATAATTATCTTATTCCATATTTTATTCCTATTAAAAATGTAAGTGTAAACGAGAGAGAGAATGAGAACAAATTTTTCATTATGTTACCTATTTTGTCATTCTTTGGAAGAAAAAAACCCCGACTTTTTCAGCAAACGGCATCTTACGAGGGGTGATCAGAAAGTTCGCGAACTAATTGAATTACCTCTTTAAAAGAAATAAAATGAAGTTTCAGTGTTTATTATTTTTTAAAGTAGTCCTCTCCGATTTTAATGCACATCTGCCATTGCTCTGCCCATGCGCGAATCACGTGATCCAGGCAGTCACGTGACATGCTCCGAAGCAGTCTGTTCAGAGGAGCTAAAAGATTTTTCAGAGTCTTATATTCCTTACCATGCAAGTTATTTTTTTTTATAACAAAAACAGTCCATCTGTCAGAAATGGCCAAATCTCGGCAATAGGATGGATGGATAAGGATATCCCTTCCCACAATTAGTATGGTGACCCATCACAACCCGAGCGCTCTGTCTCGGGAGAGTCGTTTTTCCAATGTGGATAAAGTATGGGCGCCTTCTTTTTATCATATCTCATATATTTAAAGTCTAAAGTAAATGATATTTTAGAGATTTAATAATTATATTATTGTTAAGATGTACAACCATTTTTCTAATTGTTACTTGACGATGTTTCATAACAAATTGCTCAACTAAGGACACATCTTTTCCCCGGCTTCTTTCGCTGGGCAACAGAACAAACATCATTTTTAACCGTCTCCCTGTCTTTACTTAAACAATCAATACAATTAATGATTGAACTTCTGGTAAGTCTTTTGTCTTCATAAACCTTGTACAAATCATCATATTCTACTGCAAAGGAATTTCCAAGATATACGTTAATATTTACAGCAGTTCGTTGCTCGAGTACGACAGAGTCAACCATTTTTTGTCACAAGTGACCTACTATTGACGTCATTTTCACATTGTGAAGTCACAAAGACGGAGCAAAACATTATTTAACATATGTTATTTATAGAACATGTGTATGACTATATGTATGCCAAATTTCATTCTGATCTGAATTGTGATTTTGTAAATATAGAGATAGTTCGCGAACTTTTTGATCACTTTTTGATCACGTAAATCGATGAACACACATATCAATGTGTTAAACAATAAACCTGTAATGAAATAAACAACTTAAAAGTTTCGTTTAGCAAATTGGGACCAAATACCCAAATGAGATGTAAATGCTTTGCTTGGAATGCTTTATGCTTAAGAGGACAAATTTGAAGTGCCAAAAAATGAATAAATTTATTTACTTATAAGTATTGTAAATCTACATATCCATACATGAAAACAACAGCATTTTGTAAACTAGTTTGTTCTATATTACCCGTACTGTTTAAGACTTTGATCAGCAGAAGATATAAACTTTTTTGTAAATCAATCTCAAAATGTAGGGTTATTGAAAATCTCGCTTGCCAACAATTATTGTCTTCTAAGTATACTCGTTAATTTTTTTTGCGCTGTAATTTTACATTGCCTTCAAAATATAAAATCCCGAACGGGCTTTTGATTCACACTTGTCCAATTTGTCCCAACTTGCCTAAAGCCATTTGTTGTTGTCTCAGTGGCAACGCTGTTGTTCACAGATCGATGATCTTACTGTGGATATTAAGCTATCTAACAGTGCAATTAACGGAGTTCTTTAGTCGATGCAGAAAAAAGATGACAAACATAATGACACTTTTCTACCCTGTTTTAATATTTTTTGGAGTTGAGTGTCAGACGCCTCGTTACCATGGTGAATTTAATCTGAAGTTTTTTGGGAAGCTTCCAAGCACAGACTACCAAACTATTTTCACGGCAGAGGGACCAACATTTGGAAAGACGTTTAATAAGTGTTCCAAGTTTTGTGCTAATGATCAACGTTGTATAGGAATAGAAATATGTCAGATCAGACATGAATTGTTTGAAGGTCGAGTTTGCTGTGAGTGGAAAAAAATAGGAAAGAACAATATTGATGAGCATCCTGGGTGTAAATACCTAGAAATGGTAAATATTTCCAGGCACATATTAACACGATCTTAGGTTTTAATGATAAGTTATTTTACTCTGGAATCTATTTAACTTTTCGTCCTAACTTGTCTCTAAGACAATGTAAGACATACAAACTTAACCTAAGAAGACGATATTTTCTCAATATATTTTAGTTAATTTCTGAATTAATGAAATGCATTTAAACTGATTTTTGTTGACGTGTTGAGGTATTTTAAATAGATGAACCATATAAACAATGAATTTTCATGAATCATCTACATTGTATGCATCTTGGGCTATATCGTTATAATATATATATATAATATATCGTTCTACATCTACATTATATGCATCTTAGGCTATATCGTTATAATATATATATATATATATATAATATATCGTTCAAATATTTATTTCCAGGAAAATGAAAACGGTACAAACTGTAAGTAGAATGTCAGTATATCATAAGGTGATTTAAAAAGTTCGATTATTTACTATGGTCATTAAATAGTTCTGCTGATATGCAGATACATACATTTAAAATTTTCAATCTTGCCGTATAAGAATAATATATTCTTCTGTATTAAAATTTCACTGTGTAAAATGATGGCACATAATCACATTGTTGATAGGCCTAGTACATTTATTACTACATGTCATTAAATTTCTTAGTGAATGTCTAAAGAAATATAACGGGATGTTCAATTTCATAGCCTACAAGGGAAAATTGCTTCATTAATAAAAGGCGTATTAACGTTCTTGTTAAAATAAACTATGAGGCCATCATTGATGACAAAATGTTTATTAGTTATTTGTTAAAATTTCAAATGGATTCATTTTCTTTCATTTATTTTTTATTGTATTAAAATGTTTGCTTTATATTTTATTTGCAGAAACCGTTTGCTTTAATTTGTGATTAAATTCGCTTCATAAAAAGATAATCTTTTTTTAACATACAAGGCTGAGACTTAATTTGATTGTTTTTTAAACACAGGTGTATCGTTAGCTTTAATAATCTGTAAAAAGCTTTTCTGTTGCAATTTTGCGTATTTGCATCATGACCTGCAGAAATTCAAATCATTGAGTTTCTTTTGACCGACTAAACATTAAGAAGGTTTGATCAGTCGCCTTATTATATTTAAACAGTAGCCATGAATGCAACGCTAAGCACAGTTTTCGATATCAACCACATAGCATCACATGCAGTTGATGGTATGACAACGTGTATTATAGGATCAACACCCGCACGGATTGCGCACACTAAACTGGAGACAAGTCCGTGGCTGAAGATCAGTCTGAGGAATTCCGTCTATGTTATGAAAGTGTTGATTTACAACAGGCAGGATTGCTGTGGTAGGTCATATATAGCTAATCTATACAAATGCTTAGAAAAAAACTCCGAGAATTTATGTCCGAAACATTTGTGTTCCTTATAGGATTAAAAAACATCAAAATTGGCTTATTAGTCCCCTACCGGTGAAACCGGAGGGGACTATAGGTTTCCTCTGAGTCTGTCCGTCCGTCTGTCCGTCCGTCTGTCTGTCTGTCTGTCCCTCTGTCTGTCTGTCCCTCTGTCTGTCTGTCAGTCTGTCCCACTTGGTTTTCCGCACTTTTCTTCTAAACGCTTGCAGATATTGATCTGATTTTTGGTATATGAGTGTATCTTGATGAGTTACAGATCAAGTTTGCATTTCATTCTGCTTCATTGATTTTTGACGGAATTTATGGCATTTTCAATTTTTAATGGGAACCAGATTACACTTGGCGGTAGGGGACTGGTATTGCTAATGCAATACTCTCAGAATGCTTGTTTATGATCATTCTCATGTTTATGAATGTTAAATGCACCATCCCTCATTTCCATCATTTGCCTAAATGTCTGTGTTAAATCGGAATTAAAGAAAGCTCGCCTTTTTAAGAACTCCATACTAGACAAACCAACGGTGTCTCAATCAAGATAAGGGAAATAAGAAAATCTGAATATCAAAATGAAAGGACTGAACAGGTATATTTAAAACGTACTGAAACATTTAAAAATAAATAAACTTAAAGAAGTACTTGACAGTGGGCGAGATATATAACTCTTGCGATTTCAATTTTACGTAAAACCTGACGTTAATTATTAAGCCTGAAAATGACGAGCGATACGATACCGATGCATTTAAAAAGGAAATAGAATCGGAATACGAAATCATATCCTTGATAATTTACGTATTTCCAATAGACCCCTACCCTAAACAGGGAGAAAAGGAAAAGATAATATTTTCATTTTCGTGAATTCCATGAAATATATGGAGATAACGAACAGTATTCAAGCTCAAAAGTCCATTAAACAATACCAATTTTGGAGCAGAGCAAACACGGATCTCCAAAACATCAGAGGTGGGATCAGGTACCATGGTGGAGTGAACATCCCCTGCTGACCGGTCACACCCGCCGTGTGCTCCTTGTCATGATCGGGAAATAACGGAAAATCCGTCGACAATTCAGTGTGTAAATAATGGCCTAACAATTAGTATGAAAAACGTCAGTCAGCATTTGACTCAATGAAAGATTGTATTTACTGACAAGGTCATTGTATCAATCATAGAACTTACGGAATTACGACTTTAAACGACACTGCTGATATTCCTGAATTGTATTATAAACATACCACGGCATTTTTTTTTTTACCTTAAAACATTTTAAGGCAGAAGTGTACATACATTAAGTTGCTTTCCCTGTTAGGATTGGCAACATAACATTCATTTTACCTGCTTATCTAACTATTATGCAAATAAATATTATCTTGTTCTTCGTTTATAAAAACCATGTTTTCACTTCACTGATCAAATCGGAACAACTCTAAAAATGTTGTGTGTGTTTCTCTCCCTTTGGTTGAGTTATTCCTCCTGTTTTTCGAAAAACGTAATTTTTGGTATGAATACACAGATACAATTACATTATGTTCAGTTCTGATGAATACGGTAGCCGACAGGTGCCAGGTAGAGAAATATTTTATCTTGCGGTCGCCAGAAAATTATCACAAGGAGCACACCGGTCGAACACCGGGGTGCTAACTCTTCCCTGGCACCTGATCCCAACTCTGATTTTTTGTGGTTAGTGTGTTGTACATCCTTAAGAATTTAATTTTTAATAGAGCAAAAGGATGAGCAATATCAGCATTACTATTTTTTCGTCGAAAATAACATTTTTCAATAATTTCATAAACTACATGTTTATCTTTAAAGATATTTATAAAACTTCTTTTACAGGGGAACGGTTTCATAATGTCGAGATTAACGTGACAGAAAATGGGCGAAATAATCCGTGTGGTTTTTACCCTGGACCTGCTGAAAGTGGAGACCGGATATTGTTTCTGTGTGAACCCGGCACCCGAGGAATTGACGTCACAATCTCCCTTTTGCCAAATGGCCAGCCCATATTTTTCGGTTTGTGTGAAGTCGAGGTGTATGGTCAACCTTAAAATACTTAAATATTTGCGATGTTTCTTTTTGATACAAAATATTATAAAAGAAATGCAATTGTGGAAAACAAAAATGTCATATATGAACTTACAGTTCCCTACCTGCAACTGATGACCTTTGTATGAAACTAGTATTTTTATATATCATAGACAACTGCTTCTTCAATAAAAACATGGAACTTGGAGATTTTCATATCTTGTGATTGGTCATCTAAAAATGACTTTATAAAATTATTCTGATTTTACACATAAGTACTCTGACGTTGATATTAAATGCTGGAATTCCTCATTGACGACATCTATGTAGTATTAAGAGACCAGGTCTTCAATTAATCTATTAGAAATATTGTTTCAATCAATCATATGTCGACTAAATAAATCCCAATGAACTCAAAATTAAAAAAAAAAAACACTACGGGTCTTCTACATCTGTTTCATATTTGGGTGTTTTACTGACTATAGATCCTTAATTAGGTAGTAATATTTCGCAAACATCTGTATATGGTGTCAATGTCTATAATTCATTCGCAGGTATGTTAAGGCAGACTTAAGATAAGTGCTGCTAGAATTCTCGTCTCCCAACACAGAAATAAGTATTCCACACTTTGTATGAAACCTTTCCTTTTTTTTTTTACATTTTGTACTTACGATTGAAGAATTTTCATCGCTTCCTCTTACCAGACGATTCTAGATTTCGACATAGACAAAAATCATGTTTCAAAGTATGCGGAGTAATACTGTATCTATGTTGTTGTAAGCGAGAGAGGAAGGACTTATCGGGACTTCAAAACACTGCCTATGTGATTGGTTAAGAAATAAGAAAAAAAAAATGCTGAAATAAATAAGTCTGTTTAATTCTTAAACTTTAATTGCTTTTGAATCATTCATAATATTCAGGATATACGATTTTTCACTATCATTTCATATATTTGTTTAAATGGATTCTCGTTACGTGTCATTTTAACCAGGCATATATTTAATCAACAGTTGTGATATCATGGGTTAACTTTTAACACTTTAAAAATTACCGTTATGTATACCATTAGAAGATGGCGAGATTTTGTTTATATTATGGTTTGCATGTTTTCATTCATTTTTGGGACTTGAAACAAATTTTGAATTAGATATTAAGAAAACGTTATCGCTAAAGCTAACGTAATAAAGATTACATTTTCATTATGAACTGGTCCCAACTGACAAAGCAGGTAGCAACATAGTGTATGTTTGTAAGACTCACTATTACAACTGTAATTAAGGGAACTTTTGGTTTAATTCCACAAGTGGTAATCCAACTTATGTTCATTGATCCCTTTCTTCAAAATTTTATGTCAGTTTTAAATATTTTTAATATTCCAAACAACCTGCACTTGAATAACCATAGATATAATGGATTCCTTAACTTCATAAAAATACTAACAGAGACATAAAGCGGGTTTTAGTAAATGTTCTACCAAGCCTCATTGACAATATCTTTGTGCCTTCCAGAGACTAGAGCTTGCAACAATCTGTTGGAATTCCAATGGGTACTAATTGTGTCCCGTTATTAGGAAGTTTATTTTGTATTTATATGTTTATTTGTTTGTTTTGTCACTTACATGAGACGCCACATTTTGCCGGTGGCCTGCTGTTAATTTAGACTTGTACTCAGTACTTAAAGCCTTTGAGTAGTGAGACATCTTTTGCGTGACAGCACCTACTGCGACACGGAAATACAGTCTTCATCCGAAGGACTTGTTCGGATTGGTCTTCGCGTCCCGCAGTGGGATTCGAACCCGCTACGTAAGGATCAACTCCTTACAAACGCTCTAACAACTGTACCACGCGGACTGTATTCATATGAAGAAGAATTTATTCAAAACTTCTACATGTAAAAAAGAAGTTTCATAGTGTGGCCTTCAGTTCAACATTTAGATATATCGAATACAATTTATCAAATGACAACAGTTTTTTTCTATTTTTGAAAATATCTGATTTATATTTGGATATTTTACTTGAGAAAAACGTTGATGGAAAACTGACAACTTAACTTTATGAGAAACCTGATGACTTCATCTTTTCTTTCGTCAATTTCCCTCACGTATATAGCAATATACCATTATCACCTTCCTATGGTGTTTTTGTCTCCCAGTTGATTCGACACACAAGAACATGTATTTTTATGTATGAATAGTTTCTGAAACGAAACAAGCTATAAACAAACGGGTTGGTGATACAATGATATCAACATTTTCGTTTAAAGTCAAATTTTGCAAATTCTGTGGTTTATACTGTTACGTTCTTTGCAAAAAAAAAAAAGCTGTCGTTAGGTCGAATGTAGACTCACGTTTTTGAAAGAAATTGTTAGATTATAATTTCACAAGGATTGTCTACGGATTTTCTGTTTACCCAATCATGAAAATGAGCACACGGCCGGTGTGATCGTTCTGCAGGGGATACTTACTCCTTCACAGCACCTGATTCCAACTCTCTTTTCAGAGGGGTGTTTTGGCTCTTCTCATCATTTGTATTGTTAAAATATACTTTTTGAAAATGAGCACTGTTTGCTATCTTCTTAGTCCATAGCTTACTTATGACGTCAAATTGTATCGGCATGTAGAACAACTGGGTGTAGCCTTGACATATTCACGTACTAAAGAGCATGCTCTGAGTACAATCAATTTTAAACCGGAGCTGGCTACTGACAAATATGTTGATGTTATAGGGATTTCAACAACCTCCTTTAAGGTCAGCATTTCGTAAATAATGAACTTGTTAGCAAATACAACCTAGAAATATTCTCTAAGCAGGTCGTTATCGTATGGGAGAGCAATAGAAGGCGATTGATAGATTTTACCAGTGTTCAAATCAGTCATTGTTATTAGAGATTATTAATCAGTAGGAAAAGGAAATATTAAGTGCAGTAGTCTTTGAAATACGTATAAATAATTTTCTTTATTTATGGGATTGATAAAATTGAGATATCTACATTTCGGTAAACTTTAGTTATCACTTCACATTTCACATTAAATTTTTAATCGCACCAAAACATTAAAAGGGTTATTCTTTATAGATAAAAATGAAATGGAATACTAAATTCTACTTTACAATCTTCGAATAAAGTACAACAGAATGAAAGGCTGATATTTGGCTATGAATTTACTTAAGTGTTCTATCATTTCAATATGATAAAACATTTATAGAATTCATCACAATTGAATAATAGAAATAAATTGATCATGATATTATTCCTACGTGGGCTAAAGTTCATTTTTTTTCTCTTCGAAGGGATTGAATAGCTAACCTATTTGTCAAGTTTAAGATTTACATGTACATTTACCAGTTTAATGAAATTTCTTTGACAAAGAATATTGATGAGTGCTAGTAAATAGGAGAAAAGTAACTAAGAATGATATGAAGGATCAGTTGGTCACTTTCTGTTTTTATTGATATAAATTGACGCAGCACTGTTATGGCGTACTTTGAAGAAATCATAGACATCTGCAAATAGATATCTTTTTAAACTGAATTAATTTTTGTAAAGCTATTATATTATCACATGACTTTAATATTAATTGAAATAACATAGTATACCGCGCTCTGTTTTGAATCTAGCCTGATCATCTTATTTGACAGTCAAGTTATAAATGCATATAATGTGTAAGGCATGGAGGTCATAAACAAATTTCAGTATCGCGAGGGCATACCCTATTTCAAATTAAAAAAAAATTAAGTTATAATTTGTTTCTACATATCGTTTAGTTTCTTGAAAGTGCTGCTGCTTTTAATATATTTTGCATTTTATTAGTTTAAATTTCAAGTAGATGGGCTCAAGTTGAAATATGCGTGACCTTTATCAAGTATTTCATTTATTTATTAAGTAATTCTCTCGATTTCGGGGAAGCAGCATCATTTTTCAAGTTAAGGAATATTTTCTTTATGCTTATTAAAAAAATGGTTAAGATCTATTAAGTGTATGTCCTTGCGAAAAGACGATTAGATGAGGCAACTCGATATCAAACATGCCAATTCTATACACAAAACACGATAAAATTAATTTGATGCATTCTCATAATAATTATTGAATAATGGCATTAAAGTTTTCACATTGGTATTAATGGTCTATCTAAAATCTGTAAATAATATTCTGTTTAATAATGAAATGCATTTTCACCGTGAAAAAAAAATTTGATCCGCATCTCACTGTACATAAAATGCGTCAACTTTTACCATGATGACGTCATGTCGAGAAGTGCATTGGTATCTTTATATTTATACTTTGCTGTGTTGGATCTAATCAGCGACCAAAATGATGGCAGTGGTAAGCTTTGATGTAGTGAATTACTCTTATACAGTTAAAAATCGTAAATTATTTCATTTTCTGGAGTCGTGAGGTATTGCTATTTTTTAAAATCTTTTATTGGACAATTTTAAACAACACATTTTAAACAGTTATCCCGGGTATTGAGGATAACCAGCCACATACAATCAATAAAAACAAAACGTAAGAATATTATAACAAATTTGTAAGACATTTTACTTTAAACACGTACGTATGTTTTTGGGAAGTTCAGCATGAAATCAATACTAGTAACTTTTCCTAATGAACCCATGATAAATTGTTCTAACATTGACTTTTCTTGTATAGTTTTTTTTTTTTTTTTAGTATTTTCTCTTCTACATATTTTAAATTTATGTATTATATATGCTAAATATGAAATTGAAGTATTATAAAAATGAATTTTTGAATTTGCTTTTTCCATTGTACAATATAGTTCATATTAATATTCAACTTGTGCCATATATATAAACAATACAAAATAGGAGCAGAGCAAACACGGACCTCCAAAACATCAGAGGTGGGATCAGGTGCCATGGAGGAGTGAGCATCCCCTGCCGACCGGTCACACCCGCCGTGTGCTCCTTGTCATGATCGGGAAAACCCCCCAAAAAATCCTTAGACAGTTCAGTGTATAAGTAATGGCTTAAGAATTATTATGAAAAACATCATTAAGCATTTGACTTAATGATAGGTTGTATGTGCTGACAAGGTCATTGCATCGACCGTAAAACTTGCAAAATAATGACTTCAAAAGAGACTGTCAAAAATAAGAATT